AAGACAGTTTTACTTTTCCAAAATTTCAGATTTCTTTCGATTGCTTGCATTCTTATCTCGATATGTTTCATCTACATTTATAAAATATAATTTTATTACATTTAAAAGATTCTTCTGGTTTGTCTTGTTTATTTACATCTAATAGTTTACCTATCAGGTTTTTTTGCTATTTCTTTTTAATAAACAATTTTTTTTCTTATGATTTGATGACTTCTGTATCAGGAAATAACGCAGAAAACAACTTATTTGTCTAATCTTGGCTTCAATAGCTGTAATGATTTTTAATTCCCATGATAGGCAGATGTAACTTCTGCCGCAGTTATTTGATCTATGTCTAGTGAATGTTTTTTGCGCAAAGAACTAGAAATTGATGACACAGAAGACTTGTTTTTAAAAAATAACTTATGTTTGTTACATTCTGAATGCAGAACCAGAGCTTTTTTATCTCCGCATTTAACTGTATTATCGGTTGTGATACTTTACATTCGGCAGTGAAATTGTCTCGTTTTCTAAGCCAAGTATTAAACAGAGGATCGTTCGATCAATTGTCGTCAAAGCTTGTACTATATTTGACTTTCCTCTTTCACGATGGTGTCATTTGAGTTTTGCTTTCCGAATCCGATATTATGCCATACAAGTACCAAAGCAACAACAGAAAGACTCTCGTACCTACTTCAACAACCGCAGGTAAATGTTTTATTTACATTTAAAAGAATTTTACATTCCTTTTATTTCGTAATGTCAAACATGGAGTGACGTCTTATATTATGAAACCTGAATTCTGATGTTTGAGTGGAAAACTGACTATACTTTTATGTAATAAAAACAATAAAGAAATCATATATTTTTAAGCTTTTTATAAAATATTAAATAATGTTGCTGTTATCTTATATATTAGCTGTATAACATTTCAAAGATACTGTATATAGTATATATATAATCTGTGTTTTAAATTTTAAATAGAAAAGCTGACACAAAAGCAAGAAATAATGGAAAACAAATTGAACTTATTTCTTAAATCAGATCAAATCCAATATTTGAGAGTCTCCTGACCTCGAAAAAACAGTGTAATTTGTTTTATTACATTTGTATTTTGAATGTTTTATTCTATTTTAGTTTAAATAATGTCGTATAAAACTGACTGCTCGTACAAGTTTGTTTAAAACATGCGACTCAAAATGGCGGCTCCAGAAGCGTGTCCCAATCTCCTTATATATACCTTAATTGGCTGAGAACCTCTAACGGAACCTTGTTGTAACTTATGACAGGAGATCCTGTTGCGTGTTCGGAGTGAAATCTCCAGTTTAGGTCGTGTTAAATTTAAAACAATGTACTGCTTTTTCGTAACTTGTTCTGTTGTTTGTCAGAAAAGCAAATTGTTGGTTACCATATAGACCAAAATTACTGTGTTGTATTATATTGTGTTATTGTACTGATTGTTTTGTTTTATAATAAATGTATTTAATAAATTTTTCTTTCTTTAGTAAAAACGCAATATTCCCAGTTCTAAATACAGTAGGAAACAATTTTCCTATTATTTAATACCACCTCATTCAATAAGAAAATTGTGATGCAGATTCCATTTATAATTCATTTAAAAATCAGTTTGTATAAATACCTCTATATGGTATTTATTCCGTCGGCGAGTCATCAAGTCACAAATCCTCGACTTCTCTATAAGGTATTTATCCACACGCGAATATCATTTAAACTCTCTCTCTCCCGACAGTTAGATTCCATAACTTAAGAAATATATATCAATCCGAGATGTTTATAATCGTGTGTCTTGTACTCTCTCCCGTTGAAATTAAATTGTTATTGTTTATTAATCTGGAATCTGAGTGAGTCACTTCTGGTACGTTGTCTCTCACGTAGTCTCCATCCCGGATCCGATCGCCTGCACACGTGACCGCTCGCGCAAATTCTAAAGTTGTGGTTTGTGTCTGTCCTAAAGACACAGTGGTGTCGTTCCTGACAGGGTGCCAAAGAGGTTCCGACTCTCCGGTCACAGTTGCAAGACAGCTTAAATCTTCATAACGTAATAGGAATAGGTGTTGACATCGCTAGTTTCATGATTGAAAGATATCAGTAATTTTAATAATCAATAATTTTACGCGCTACCCCCAGAACCAATGCGATCTGTCGATAATTATGTCTGTACATAATATAGCAGGAAACTGAGTTTCCTTGCATACAAAGTTTTAGATTGATGCGACATTCTCTAAAAATTTTATTCACAATCAAAATTACTTTATTAATAACTGCAAAAATAAAAAAAATTGTAAAATTTAACACAAAGCAATTGTTATAAGATACAATAATTTATTTATAGTTAACATATACCAAGGCTTTCTTGCATTTAAATAAGCTGGAGTTCACGGAAATTAATACTTCATAGGACACCATAACAATAAAAATATCAATTTTCATTATGAAGTTGTTGAGTGTATTTCTTTACATTGAATAAGTATTTTACTAAACATCTGCCATCTCCTTACATTTAACTAACATACCGAATATTTTTGAACGTACAAGATATCAAAATTACTAATCTATATATAAATGCAATTTGGTAAAATATTGCTGACTTTTATGTCGTCATACAATAAATTTACACATCAATTGTACAATGTAATTTGCATTTCTCATTACGTTTACGACACTACAGACTAATGCATTGAAAGGATAATTCAGTATCATTACTTTTCAATGTATACAGTTATAAATTGGGAAATAACTTTATATATGGCTCTATACTTTCAAACAGATCTTTGTTTAGAAGTAAAAAATTGTGTTCGGTGTCATCTTCTGTAGTAAATTTCAACCTAACACACTCGTAAGATAATTGATTTACATCATTAACAAATAATTCTGCAGGATTTTCGACACAATTAAAAACTTTAAGCAAATACGCAGGGAATGTATTTAGTCGACTTCTCTGTTCAATCACAGAAGATTTCTGAACTATTCCACGGAAATAAATTTCAAATTTGTTTCACGTGTTTTTTATCAATATATCTCGCTTGTTTTCCATCTTTTTCCAAACATTTTCCATTGCTTTGACATCATTCGGTCGAAGGAACACTTCCTCTATTTTCATAAATATAAATATTTCCACTTGACAGGAATGCGAAACTTTATCGTGAAGTTTATTCAAGTTTTCAAACGTAACGTAAGAATTGGGAGACTCGCAAATGTCAACAATGAAGTATATCTGTGAAAAATCTGAGGGAATCGTCCACACAGAATAGTTCATACGTGAATTACAAGTGCATTCGTATTTTTTAACCGTGTTTGAAAATCTTTTCTTATCTTCTTCATTGAGAATTTCGTTGTATATTTTTATCGAAATGTCTAACGAAAACACAACTTTTTCGAAATTCTTGAAGCAAGTTTTTGGAATTTTTTCTTCTCTAAATAAACCAAAATAAAACGTAATAAAATTATGATGAGTTGTAAACTCTGTAACACATGGTACAGTATAATTGTTAGTGACATTCAGGAAAGGTACTTCAGGGTTCTTATACAATTACAGAGCAACCGGAAATTCTTTGATGCTCTCGTGCACGCAATCGAAGTAAAAATTATTGTGATTGTCAAAGCTGTGAGAAAGAAAATCCAAAGCAAAAGGAAAAATCTTATTACATTAAATGAAATACTTATTTAAATCGTCGATGGTAATTTTTTGTTCTTTATCGAAGGGATAGAATAGCGCTTTCTTGTTGGTATTTTTCTCGAAAATTAACTTTCCTAATCTAACTAAAATTTCTTCCAAAGGAAAATGCTTTCCTATCGGAACACTTGGATTTATCTGAAGTTTTCTCATTGATCTCTATGTAATCAATTGCATTATATAAATATACATATCTGTCTTATATCTTCATATATCTCCTAATGTATTTTGAAAACAACAAAACATGTGCAAGAATAACGGACTTTTAGTCAAAGAAATATAAAATTCGTTTTCTAATATTTTAAGGAGTGTTTGTGTTTGAACACCGACTTCGCGTATTCTTCCTTCTGTTCGAGTAAAAATTCTTGAAGATTAAATCGAAAATTCATGTATTCTCTTATTCCTTCGGCAGGATGAGGACGACTCGTCACAATAATTGTTAATTTTCGAAAAATACCAAAGGAACCCTTTCCTAAAAAATTTTTGATTCTATTAGAAGTTTCAACATCTTCATCGTATTCATCTAAAATAATTAAGACATTCAAATTTACCCTCCGTGTTTTTTTCTTCATTTCTGGTTCTGAAGTTTCAAAAATATCTTCTAGAACAGCATCTTCCAATTTCTTACCTCTTTTAAGTTCCGTTAATGTTAAGACTACAACAATGTCGAAACGACTTAAGTAATTGTTTGACGGATCATCGACAGCCCAATCGTAGGCAATCTTCTTGCACAATGTAGTTTTGCCAGAACCAGGATCCCCACATACAAGAATGCTCGTATGCCCATCATCCACTTCCCTAAATATATCCCTGATATCAAAAATGTCACCAATTGGATTAACACTAAAATTATGTGTTTCCTGCAGTTTTAAATTAACGTAATAATCCTTTAGAGGAAAATCTCTACTCTTATTCTCTTATAAGAAAGATCTCATATAACCGTTTTCTGTTTAGTAAAGTTTTTTTAGTCGTTTTTTATTACTTACAAATGTTTCTGAAAAAATCTCGATTGTTAGATAAAAAACACTTGTTTAAATGATTAGTATAAATCTATGTAGCTATAAAATGTAGCAAAATAAATAACATATATACAGTATAACCTGTAAATTTCGAATATAAAGGGATCAAATAATGGCCAGTTTGAGTTATGAATAAATTACAAATATTTCGGCAGTTACATGTAAAATTCTGGCTGTAACAATGATGTAGTGTAACAATGATAAGTGATTCATTAAATAAATTATCAACAGGAATATTTACGTGATTAGAAATAGATCTTTCTTAATTAATGTAAATCGCTTCGTCAGTTCGTAAATGCAATGTTAATAATAATAATAATAATCTTGTTTCATTTATGCAGCTGTATTGATCCTATATTAAAGAATGAGCCAAAAATATTGTCAGATCTTAACAGGTTTTTCTCCACACCTGCCTAGCTTCACTTAACAAGAGACTGAAGGTGACAGGTTTTACTGTATTTATTATTTATATTGTAGAATGAATAATACCTAATTCATCTCTATCCGGTATTTGATCGAGTGCACCATTTTCTTTGTCAGAAGATCCATAAAGTAGTGAGATGATGAAATTTATTAGAACTGAAACTACAATACAGCACAGTTAATGTAACTTTGTTGGTTCCAGATATCAAACAATTGTTGAAGAATAAGAAAACTTACCACTTTCAGCGACTGTTTGAAGCATTTTTTTTTTTTTTTGAGATTTTTCATAAACTTTTAGACTTTGTTTAAAATCCACTTAAGCAGATCGTTCAGTTGCAAATAAATCTGCAATAAATGAAAAAATACAACTCAGAAAACTTCTAATATTGCCGCAGCCATAACGAAATTACACTAAATTGGAGTGCAAATTTGATAAAATCGAACAGGTAATTACACCTATTTAGTCTCATTTCTTACCTTAAAATAAATGAAAAAAAAATTAATTACCTGACTTTGCCATCTAACGCATTCCTTCCAACTGTTACATCGACGATACAAAGACTTTGTGACGTAGTCAGGAAAAATAGTTCTTTGTTTTCGCAGGCGTAATATATTTTAAAATACCTGAATTTAATTATTTTTTTCTTTACATAAAACTGTAATTTTGTGTAATTCGTAATTCTCGTACTACAGTAAATGATACTACACAGTATTTAGATACAACCAGCGAAACAAGTGTATTAATTACACGTGTTTTCTGTGTAAAATGACTCACTGGCCTATGATTTTGCTATTTTTACTGAAATTACAATAAAAAAGTCACCTCCTAGACATTTTTACATTTTTGGAGTGGGGAGATCTTGAAACGTCGAAAAATGATAAATGAATAAGATTTGGGGGTGTTTCTGTGTGTTAGTTTCTGTTTCGAATATGAAGAACGTCATAAGATAAAATAACAGATAATATAGTTTTGTTTGCGAACGTAAAAAACCGTTTATCTGTTTATCGCACGACTGTTTTATTCTGCGCAGCCGAGTAATTTCTGTTTGATTAACAATATTGCTTTTAACCGTTTAATTGCATATAATTAAATACACTTAATTATACATTTTCGCGTTTTTTTCAACCGTAGTCCCTACTCTTTGTAATTGTAATTCAAAAGAAAAAGGAGCACAGATTAATTATACAAACGTTGTTAATGCAGTTAGTATATTCATCTTAACTGCATTATTATATACAGTTGACCCCCCTATAACACGGTAGATACGTTTCGCTTTTTATGAAATTCATGTTCTACGAGTCCTTAGATACATGAGCCAATCATATGAGTCAATCCATGAGCCAATACATGAGCCAATCACAATTAAATACATGGATCACGTATACAGTTTACGGACCACGGCTGTTTGAAAGGTTTTCTTCCATAAAATTAATCGATTCTAGACTAATTTGACTCAACATTTTCAAAACACGTATAATTTTTTCGGNAATCTGGTTTTTTGTGTTTGATTAAAAACATATTACACTTTACGATTGTTTAATTTTTAGTTTAATACAAATTTAAAATAATATTAAAATTTCGAAGTTCACGAACAATAGAAAAAGAAATTAATTTACAAAAATTGTAGCATTACTTACCGAGCGTGCACCGTTTGACGACGCCATTCTTGAGCTTGTTTTCGTCGTAAAGCGGCGTATCGAATGGCGCTCGCCTGCTTCCTGATAAATTATGTTTTTTTGCGAAAAATTCACTGAAGTTTGGAGACATCGTTAATATAAATATAATTTTTATGGACGTTAAATAATAAATGGTATGTAGTAGGTCCGCTGCTCGTTTAAACTCAACGGTTTGTGCAATATCCGCTATTGGTCTAGATTCGACCAATCCTGTCGCGACACGAGTCGGCGATGACGTTTTACCGAATTATACGAGTTTTTTTAGCGTGTTTGTAAGAATACGGTCGCAATTTTTTCGCCGTCGTATAGGAATCCGAACTATATGAACCCGTTTTATAGGAGGTCTACTGTATTCTTTAACCTTTTTCCGGCTCATATTAAAAAAATCAGTGAAATTCGTCATTCGGCGCATTTTTTGAATTTTTGGATAATTATTTAAATCGAGATATTTCGCTTCAAAATCGCGCTGTATTTAATCTGTTTTATGTGTTTGATTAAAAACATATTACACTTTACGATTGTTTAATTTTTAGTTTTATACAAATTTAAAATAATATTAAAATTTCGAAGTTCACGAACAATAGAAAAAGAGATATTTCGCTTCAAAATCTCGCTGTATTTAATCTGTTTTATGTGTTTGATTAAAAACATATTACACTTTACGATTGTTCAATTTTTAGTTTAATACAAATTTAAAATAATATTAAAATTTCGAAGTTCACGAACAATAGAAAAAGAAATTAATTTACAGAGATTCGCTAAACTTTGTACGTCTGTTAGTTAGACGCATCTGTCTTCTTTTAAACAAAACAAACTGCAGCTCTCTAGCTAGAGCGGGGGAGAAGTTATTGCCATTATTTACACTACCTCTCTAATTAAGATGGGGAAGAATCGATTGTCATGTGAAGTGACGCCGATTAGTGAGCCGTACGACCGATACGGCTTACTTAATTGTTTACGTATTTTCTCTTATTACGTAACAGCGAAAATTTGACTTTACCCTCACGTATATATAAACAGTTCTGAGTAAAGTCCTTGTTTACAATGTACTGTACTGTACATACTCTCTCTCCCTATATGACTAACTGCGGAAAGTGGGAAAAATACTAAGGTATTTTTAGGTCAAAGTTTATCAACATACTTTTATAAGAGTGAATATTTGACACTTTTTACATATTTTTTCAACGCTTTATATAATAATACCCTATAATATATGATTGGTTAATGTTTTCCTGCGATTACGCAATATCCGAAAGTAATTAGTTTCCCGGCAAATTTTTCAGCTGCAAGCTTTTGATAAAAAATCTTCTTGTCTAAGTAGAGTCAAATAACATGAAAACTAGTAGAATTACGCTGTAAAATAATAAATATAGCTATTTTTTAACGTTTGTTTACATAATGACTTCAATCACGTGGATTGGTTCTTCGCGGGAAAATCCAAACCACATGGTTCTGAAAAAACTCTCATTCGTTAAAGTTAAATCAGTCATAATATAAATTACCAGTTAGAGCGTAATAGGCGTAGAAACAAAAATTTTAAAGCCAATTAACAGCAAGAACGTCTTCCATACACTTACTATAGAGAGGTGGAGTTTCCCGAGAATATTTGTTGCTAAATAGTTTTAAAAACATATTTATACAATTAAATATTGTCGAATTAGCTAATTTAATGCCTTAAAATGTTAAATTAGTTAATTAGAGCTAAAATAAACGATTTAAAAAGCGAATTTATTGTGATTGTTTACATTTTACTTCGAAGGTTGGAAGCGGGACTTATCGCGGCAATTTTTCTTTTCACGAGTCTGTGATTGGTTACAGTAATGTCAACAAAGACAGAAGATAACCAATAAAACTTTAGAAGGAGTTTCCCTTTGATTGTTTTCAACCAAAATTGTGTAGTTAACTTCGAAGATTTACTGTAAATGGTAAAGGAGCGTATTTACCGAAATATTTATGGCCCAGGGGTGGGTAACAAAACATTTATTGGCTTAAACAAAGTCAATCGACCAACAAAAGAGCGAATCATAGCTAAATTATATATTTTTTTTTTGGTAAGTCTTTAATATTATCACAATTAATCTGTATTCACCGAGCTTCCGGAAAGGAGAGACTAATAGAAAGAAATCTTTGAAGGGCAGCCAGGTAAAAGGATTTGCATATCTTTTAACGTTGAAGAGGGTGTTTCGTTGTGGTTTGTTCAATAAACCTGAGTATTTTTGGAAGTATTTATTGCTATATAATACTATTCTTTTTCCTGTAACTTGATATGGTTCTACTAACAGAAATGTAGATTTAGCTGATTCTCTGCAAGGTTATAGTCTCCATTTTGAAATGGCTTTTAAGGTACTGTACATGCGAAAGATTCTTTTATCTCTATTGGGGTTAATCTGTTATTGATTTGGCCACACCCATTCTTTTTCCAAAGTAACCGTCGGAAGACCTGGCATCGGCATATTTCGTATTTCATTTGTTAAAAATAAATGCCAAATGGGGCATGGACTCCATGCGAACTGTCGACGGTCCTGTCCGTATATAATATTAATATAACAGGAAACTAAGAGTTTCCTCGCGTTGAAGAATGCGAGCAGAAGCGAGGATCTGATAGAAATAAATCGGCCAACATATCATGCTCCTTAGACACGGAATCGAAAAAAATTCTCTGTAAACACTACTAAAGCCATTACTAGATATACCACGCCGCAAAGTGAGGCTATATTCAATTCTTATATAGGAGGAAATCCAGCTATAGTACAAATAGATACTGGAGCTAAGATGTCACTTTTACCAAAGACCTTTGCCAACGCTATGAAAGAGAAATTACACGTTGATAGTAACATAGAAACAAACATAAGAAGCGCTACAGGATATCTTATCCAAACATTCGGCATCATCAGCCCTATCTTTCAGATCGGAGACATGCGATCCTCGTTTGCATGTTGTCTAGTAGACATAGACGTCACCTATCCGTGTGACGACATTATCGGCAGGGATATGATAACACAAAAGGGATTCCTTATCGATTTAAAAGATGGAGAAATGATCATTCTCCCACGAATGATACCCTTTTTAAACTCCGCGAATTTTATGAGAAGAGTGGGGAGAGAACAAAACGGCGTAAGTCAGAATACAAAACTAGGAAAAGAGGTTAGCCGGAAAAGAAATAGAATACAGGCAACCCAATCAGTCGAGGTTACAAGGTCAAGAAAGACCTACATTTACAAGCAAAACAAGGCATAAAACCTGATATCGACAAAATAAAATGCGTTGTGGATTTTCCGCGGCCTGAAAGTGAGCGGGAAATCCGATCCTTTTTAGGACTAACTGGCTACTATCGGAAACACATAGACGCTTATGCAAAAATTGCTAAGCCGTTGACTGATCTGTTAAGAAAGGATATACCTTTTGAATGGGGACCAAATCAACAGGAAAGCTTCGAAAAACTAAAAGAAATTATGACGTTAGCACCGTTATTAAAATCACCCGATTTCACAAAACCATTTATACTCGCTATAGGTGCTTCGAACTTCGCTTTGGGAGCGGTATTATCACAAGAGGAGAACGGCAAGGAGAAGCCGATTGCCTGTACGAGCCGATTATTAAGGAAGCCTGAACTCAATTACAGTACGACAGAAAAGGAATGTTTAGCCACAGTAAGGGCAGTAAGATATTTCAAACCCTATTTATATGGACGAAAATTCACTATCGTCACTGATCACCGACCCCTTCGATGGCTTCTCGACTGCAAAGACTCTAGATTATCGCGATGGATCATTTTCCTGCAGGAATTCGACTTTGATGTTATACACAAAGCAGGAAACTCTCACAAAACTGCGGATGCCTTTAGTCGTATGCTTATCCGACAAATAAAAGAAGTGGAACTTATTTTCTCAGTGACTCAACTGGCCAACTCGCAGCAGCGTGACGATCTTTGCCGACCCATTAAAGGATGGAGTGACCACTGGAAGTTATAACAATCTTAATTTAGAAGAATTTTATCTCAATGAACAGGGAGCACTTTGTCACAAAGGGACAAATAAAAGATAACGGATTAGTGGTAACAAATCGCAGTTACTGCAAGCCTAAAGGATAGGCTACATCCTGTTTACTTTCCATGATAACGCAATAGCTGGACATCTGGGAGAACTTAAAATG